GACCACACAATTTCAGCTTTAGAAGGAGGACCTCATGGTTCACCTTGCCAAACGCTCTGTTAAAATCGATGTAGGTCAAGTCGACAGACTTCCCTTGGTTCACTGCCTGCATCCACCATTCATGCCTCATCACGAGCAGGTTGGTGATGCATGAACGATCTGGTGTGAAACCGTGCTGTGCGGGCGTCATATTTTTTGACCAGAACAGCTGTAGCAAACGTTTCTACACAATCTTGGACAGGATACGTGTCAAACAAATTGACCTGTAGTTGTCTACCTTGCTGGGGTCACCGCCTTTCGGAATCGGTCTTACCACAGAGCATTTCCAATCAACCGGCAACGTATTTTCGGATACAGACCTGTTGAACAGGTCAGTTACGGCAGGCGAGATGATGACTGATAAGGATTTGAGAATCAGGGGTGGAGCCTGTCAGGCCCAGCAGGCTTGGTGCCCTCAAGATGGTCGAGTAGCTGATGCACCTCTTCCACATCACAATCCAGACTGTTGAGTTCGGTAAGGGTGGTGCACGCAGAACACGGTACAGACACCTGATCATCGACAAACACAGAAGCAAAGTACGTTACCAATGCGGAATCACGCTCAGTGCTGGAGGTTAGGAGCCATCCGTTCTCGTCCTCTATCACTGGTAGGTTACTTGTCGGCCTCAGGTGCCATTTCAAATACTCAAAGATTCTCTTTCAGGCGATTTTTGCTGCGGTTGCAAACTGCTCTTCGAAATACCTGCGATTGCTGGTTTTCACACTTTTGCAGAGATTTGGCTGTTTTTTATACACCACAGTTATCGTCCGAGCCAGAGATAGGGAATTTGTCCCATAGCCTACGCCACTGCCGAGCCAGCATACCATATTCTTTGTCGAGCCAATCTGGTTGGACCGGTCCGATTTTCCGACACTTGTTAGGCACAAATTGACTACACAATGAATTTATTGCATTTTTTATAACTGACCAACAAGCTTCAGCAGATGCAGGTTGCGGCAGAAACCAATCCACTTGGCACATGACAGGCCGTCGAAACCCGTCTTTCAGTAGTTGTAATCTGGCTGTAGTCTGTGGGATTGCTGCAGTGGCAGCTCCATGTTGGTCGCTTGCTGCCGGAGGCTCCAGAATCCGAATGTAATACACAGGTTGTTCATAGCTGATTAACATCAAGTCTAAGCACGATGGAGTTGAGCGCGGAGTTATGCGCGTCGGTTGACAGATGTGCTGTGCCGCCCCAGTTTCAAGTACCATATCAGCGAACGTTGCTTCGACCTTACAATAACCGGTGATAAGTTGAACTTCAAGCCAGCGTATTCGAGTACAATTGAAATCGCCTATGAGTAGCAAGTGACGGCGACTCATGTGGTCTCGGAGATGCGGCAGCCACTCTAAACAACGGCTCATTGCGCTGCGATAGAATGCACACAGGAGCAGCTCCCCTCGCCTGAGAAGGATCGAGCACCACAACTGCTCACATAGGCCATCTTCGCTTTGGTGGACGCTCACCGGTCTCTCAAACAGAGAAGTTCGGATTTATAGCAAGACGCCACCGTGGGCACTCGATAGCCAATCACGGCGGAAGCACGAGTAGCCACTAAGTTTGAGTTCCTGGGTGAGTACCTCATCGTTCAACCACGTCTCTGCGAGTCTCTACATCTGGTCGCTCGAAAACAACGTAACGCCATAGCTCATCGCGCTTGTTCATAAGACTGCAGACGTTGGTAAAGGCTACACACAGGCTGTGGTATGAAGTAACGGGCATGCATGAAGAGTGAGTGACCCATTTATCCGAATTCGCGTTCCTGTTGTAATCACCCGAAAATTTACAATACGTAGGTTTGTTTCTCCCTCACCAGTTCGCCGCTTTAGCTCGATGATGGCACACTTGAAGCGCTCCCGGTCAGTTGGATCGATATCCGGACGAATATGCACTCTATCGCTTCTCAGTCTACTCAGCCGAGACAGCATTAGCTTCGGGCTTGTTTCGTCAGCAAAACTTACTCGCATAGCGCGGTCTTTCTCAGCGGTGTTATGCCGAGACGGATGACTTGCTTCACTTTCACTCCGTCCTCACCCACCTCGAGCAGCCCATCAACCGAGCACCGTAGAAACTCTATGTCATGATTATAGCGTGCCTGAGTAATTGGGTCGTTGGACTCAGGCGAGTGAAAAAGCATCAGATTTAATCGTTGCTACTGATTCAAAGTGGCTCCAGCGGGAGAGGATTGTATGGAGCTTTGCATAAGCTGGCCTGTTCCTGGTCAGTAGCAATAAGTTTTTCTTCGTTTCGCAGCTTCTTTCGTCGTTGAGTTTTCCATGACTCCTCATACATTGGACATTTATCTGCGTCTTTAGAGCTAGCAGAGCGTTAAATCAGTGGATCATTAGCCTCAGTTGATGTCCAGTATCCGGAAACATTAGGATGGCGAGGTAATGAGTTGCCAGAAAGTGGTGAATGGGAGGAAGGCTGGATTGAACCTTGGATGGACTTAAGGTCAATTTGCGAGACGGTAGGTCTAAAAGTGCTCACAGTTAAACGCTTTTGGTCTCAACCTGCATCGGTAGACGTTAAACGTCTCTCCGACCTTCTTAGACTGCGACATTTGTTGCACAAAATTTGGATGAAATCATGTTGGATCGAACGCAGAAGACGATAGGAATCGGCCGGTAATCAAACACATGAAATATGAAATCTAGCATAATAATCAAAGTATGTCATCATCACCGTCATCAACAGCCGCACATCAGCCATTTGAACTGATGCTTCGCTGTCATACAACCACGAGAACATATGAAATAAAGAATAAGAAGAGGGAGAGAAGGGGGACTTACCTGAAAACCTTAATGCCCTAAGCAAACATTCCGGGTCAAGGCGCCTACACCTTGTGTAGACAACAAAGTATGTAAGGAACCACAAAGTGATTTCTTCGGCTAATTGGAGGGTCAAGTTTGCACTACACGTTGTGTGATTGGATTGCGACGCGCAATCTCATTGTAATGGACTGTGGTTCACAATGAAGTTGCCATCTGCTTTGAGTACGGTCCCGGTGATCGCCGTGACCAAGGTTCACTTCAATGTGAACCCCAATCCATTACATTGAGATTGCGCGTCGCAATCCAAGCACACAACGTGTAGTCCAAACGTGACCCTCCAATTAGTCATTTACCGTTGTGCCAAGCGTTGCCCACCGTGACCCGGTAGCTAAAGGGGTAAAGGTTTCGGCTACCAATAAATGGTCGCGGAAGCGAGGCCTGCTGTCTCCACCTGATATTGATGAAATTACATCGAAACGCGTCGTGGTTGTGCAGTGTTTTCGGGTGAGCAACACCCAATTTCCATCTGATTTCTTCGGAATTTTGGGAAAATGATGTGAAAGAGACATAAAGGGGAAAGTAGAATTTGCAGAAGGGAACTACGAAATCTGTGAGAAGATGCCACATCCAATTTGATCCAGAAATGGCAGCTTCAGACCACAAATTGGATGATTCCAAAATGTCCACAAAATAATTCCAACATGCCGGTAACTCCACAAGACTATCCAGACAACGTGCCCACGGAATAAGCAACCGGAGGTCGCTAATCGTAGTCTAGTACGACACGTTGTACAAGTTGGACACGGAAGCTTGGAACGCCGGACCAGTGGAAAACAAAGAGTAAGTTCAAAATACTTATGTTATCAGGGTTAATTCTGACTTCGACACTAATGTATTGATCCTCACTCGACAAGCGTGTTCTCGCGGTCGCGAACGTGAGTCCCGCGAATCAAAACACCTGCTTCGTGCTTAAGTCTTTCGTATACAACGTGTACATACGTGTACAAAATCCGTTCCCACAATTAATATTAGCCCAGAAAAAGTTCAATTCACGTTGTGTGCAAACGGGTACAAAGGTCTACTGCAAGAACATTTCGTTTCGTTTCTACACCCAATCAGTATTTGACCATTGCGCTGTTTACATCAAAGGATTAGGATAGCGCTGCAAGGTTGATTGTAAAAAACACAGCAGGTTCAGGTGGAGCAAATGCAACCTGTTTCTTGGTTATACAATTGAGAAAAGCTGTTGCAAAACATTTCACGGCAAGTGATAAGAAAAGAAGTCATTTAACAATAGATTTCTATCCCTCAATCTTGGGACTTTTTGGTAGCTTGATTTAAAGTATGCACATGTGCTCCCATTGGCTTCTTTGACAACCAACGGTAGAAGTCTTTCGTTAACTATGTCAGCAGATCAAATATACCACGCAACGCAAAAAATAATTTGCTGAATCAAAACCCTTTGCCCGTGTACAAAGGGATTAACTCCCCTCTGATATTCACGCATCACTGTTGAACCACTGCTTCTTCCCTAGGGTCTTGATTTTCGACCTTCAGTCCCCATTTTCCTGGCCTTTTTTAATCAATATCATGTGGCGATGTGAGTCTGTTACACCCCTATGAGGAGTAGGTAAAAGCTCATGAGAATAAATGGCTATCTCGGGATAGCCTTTTCACGGTTTACACACAACTAACTCGTCAGCGTTACGTGATCAAGCGGAAACGGAACAAATAGGGTGCACTCGTTGGAAACGCTGGTCAGGATGTAGCTATGCCTAGAACATCAGCGGTGCATGGGGGACCAGTTGTGCATAGTACTCAAGCAAGTAGGCTTACTCGATAGAAACAAGGGTCGAAACTAGGAGCAACTGAAAAGAGAGGTAGTACGCCGGTGTGTTGCACTGACGATTCGCTGCCATACGACGACTGCTACGGATAAGGGTACCACGAGATCACCTGCGCCTAAACATACTCGATCCGGCGACCTGTAAAGTACAAGGCAGAAGCCACCGGTGGAGTTGCATGTAGATTTTCAGGTCAAATGGAGAATGGCTCCACAACTCGTCGGGAGAAATAGTGAAGATGGAGATAACAAAAGTAGGTAGGTCCAGAAAGCGATAACATCTGCTGACGAACGCAAACAAAATAGAATCCAAAAACATTCGGTAAAAGTGCGGTAGCATACCGTGGTTTGATTCCTTGAGCCAGAAAGCCTCGTCACGGCAACCCAGCTGCCAGTTTTGGCCGACTCAACGCCGTCGCCTACGGAGGATGAGCTTGGGGAGCGTATCAAGCTGCCATACATCGATCGATAATTGTAAGGGTCCATCTCTCGATAAAGTGCATGAGAGGCATCGCTCGCGGTTCCTTCACTGATCCAGCTGGCGGAATTGATTCCTGTGAAATCACCCGAGTTGAATTCCGCGGAGGGTGTGGCGAGAGCGTCGTCCATAAGCAATGGAGAGCGACTCCGGTTAAGGGCCTGGGAGGAATAAGTTCAAAAAGCCAGGATGAAAAATGAATTGATTGTGGGCTACTTTGGTCGAAAAAAACTGAAAAAATGAGCGATGACTGGTCGCTTCTATAGATAACAACAAAACTCCAGGTGAACTAAATGCGTCAGACCCCCAAAGCGTGCACAGCTCATACTGATGTGCCCCACACACAATGCGTGCGTGCTGGTATCATTTAAAGAATATAGAGTTTCATCGCGATTAGGTGAAATGACTGGTGACTGGTGTGACAAAGTGGTTTGATCTAGCGACAGAAGTCGCATCCGTTGATTGATAATGCGAGCAGGACGCGGGCGCTAGCATGTCGAGGTAATACCGGAGCGACTGGCGTCTGCGGCCAGTGGTAATGGTGCACCGTATAAACTGTTTGTGTGCGAATGCAGCGAAATTGGGTTTCCACAACCGACAACAAAGCCAGGAAACCCACTGCAGTGTAGGACAGAGAACGCAATGTGCAGATATGTGCAGCAGAAAGCAGTAACACAATTCGGGTTAGATAAACCAAGATGGCAGGTGAGTGGTGAAAGTGAATGAGTGGTGGCTTACGTTTTAAGGAAGAAAATAATCATCATCTGACAACTAAAAAGGAGACGGAGTGTCAATTCTCAAATAGATAAAATAGTGAAAAAAGAGATAATGCATGAAGATGACAATCCGCAAAAGGGTAGGTGACAGATAACTGACTATAATAGAGATGGGTAAGAAGACGTTAGGAATGAGTAAATACACGATTCCATGATGAAATCGTACATGGAAACTGCGTAAAGTAAAATGTGAACACGAAAAGTTGCACCCGCGGGAAATGGCGCATCCGTATATGGCGAACACAGAAATACACCAGTTCGATCGCTTTGCACATGAACTATTGACGTACGTGCCAAATCCCCCATGACTCATTCAGAATACTCAACAGACAAAGCACTGCTCGCGTACTGCAATTTGCTGAAGCCTCAGTGATTCGGTGGCTCTAATGCACTTGGTGTGACCAGACCGAGTTCATGGCTAGTCTTGCCTTGTCTTGAAGAGGTTGGTGACTGCGTCAAATGACCTATAGCCATTTTCTACGCAATGGTACTGCACATGGAAGGATGCACACAGTGAATTCCCCCCGCGTAGAAAAAGCGCTTGGACGGAAAAGTTGCAGCAATCTGCAGACGCGCACCTGGTTTGTTTGAGTATGATGTGTACAATTGTGGGCCAACTTAATTTTGCCGCTGCACACTTAGACGACTGATGAAAAGGTGGACTGTCAGTTCATGGCGTTTTAGTAAACCGAAAAAGACGTCCATGGTCGGATCCTTTGCACATCTGCGACATGTGCTGCTATTCACGCTCCCACATCCAGCACGATTCCCCAGTGTCACTAAATAGGAGGACACTTGTATGCGCACAATAAAAGCGTGTCCCATCATGCTTCCGTTTCTCCGTACTGATCTTGGGGCCTGCCGTCATACAATGCTCATGTGAAAAAACGCCCACTTTCACATTACTGTGTGTCAGCCCGTAGCCTAGAGGTAACGAGGTTGTCTCGTAATCTTGCGGCGCAGGTTCGAATCCGCGTAGGAGTGGGCGTCCTCGCGGTATACTCAGCCCGCGTGCGACTGGTGGTGGTCGCATGGCAGCGAAGCGCCGTTACGACGTAGAGCTGACATATTATTATTATATTTATTATTATATGACATTACTGTGTCACGTAAAAAATTGTGAATGAAATATTTATGCAGAAAACGGTGGCGATATTGCACAAAAATTCCCAAATCTAGTATATTTTCAACAAGGTTAATTATTGCAAGTTTGCCAGTCTTCGCAGGTATTTCAGCTTGTCTGTCGTTTGTTCATAATCTCTGACGCAGGAGGCGACCCCATGTTGCAGAACATAATATCTTCGTTTCCCTTCACCTCTAGGTGACCAGCCTGCGCATTACCCACGAATAGTCTGTGACAGGCGGTGTAATTCTGTAATCCACCAAACAAAGGCCAGATGGTTGGATGATTGCAGTGAAATAAAGAGTTCAAGGAATTGGAGAATCCCTCACAACAAGTTATCATCTTCAGTGACATTTTAAAGGCTGCATCGTGTTGGTTCCACATTTGCAATGGGAACTGTGGATCTCTGCCTGCAGCACCTTCAAGGTATGTGGAGAAAAGTACACGAAAACCGCATTATACGATTCTTCATTTGGAAATATGGCGGCAAGTTCAACAAAAACTCTTCTGACATCATGGACGAGGAGAAACTAGAACGCAGTCGGAGACTACAACTGTTCACATCAGCCTCAAATGTCCTTAAGGTCGATGTTGCTCACTTTCCTGATGAGGCTTTGGCACAGGTGGTGGAAATAGCTCCGTCGGATTTCTGCGTCTGGAAAAGAAATTCGCGCTGCGCTCATGGAGGCCTTCTCAAAATCTAGTAAAATCTTATTAGGCAGTCAATCCGAAAGCAAGAGCTTCATTATTTCAAACATTCTGATATAAGTCACGGTATTTTCTTCCGCAGCAAGAGGTAAATGCGAGGCGGATAAGAATTCCTCACGTTGGCGTGCCACCTATACGGTTGAGAAAACATGCCTGGAACATTCACAGAAGTTCCATCCCCACAGATAGTGTCTTTACACAATGTATATAATAGTTATTTATCGTTAAATGCAAAAATTCTGTCTTTAACATGCGCAGCTAGATCGTGAAGCACCAGCTCGAAGGAGTTCCGAGGGATATCAAAATGTATGGTTGTTGGACAAAGTGAATGATCATATTTTCTGTGATTCAGACGAGTTCTCGCAAGGGATGTTTGCTTGGACATATGGGCCATTACTTCGTTACTCAGGGTTGGCAGCACATTTTCCATAACAGTACGAGGTGTGGCACTAAGCACTCTTATGTCTAGTATCATTCTGCATCTGGCAGCGTTGGTTACTGAAAAATGAGAATGCTAAGTCGGTTGTCGCACGATGACGTCGTCTCGTGTCTTTATCAGTGAGTGACACTTCATGGACCGATGTGCTCGAGCAAGGATTCCGTTTATGGGGCGGAAAACGAGGTATTCAAACCCCAAGTGTTACAATTCGGTTGCTCTTCTGATTTGTTTGATACAACATTGATAAAACAATAGATGTGACGAAATTCTACCTATACCATTCAACTCCTCCTACTACTCTTCGGAAATACTGATATGTGTTAAAAATAACTGCGATAGTAATATTTTGCTACTCAAGAGTATCTCATGCAATAATTCAGCATATGGAGATTCATTTTACCGAATTCAGTCATTCCACGAATTCCCTCAACCGCGTGCATACATCTCGTGGAATAAATCGTCTAAGCACATAGTCAAAGAGTGATGTCATTGTCCGAACATTAGTAGTCGAAGATCATTTGGTGCTGCGCAGATCGTTGACCTCATCAAGGCTCGCCACAAAGGCGGTCTGGCCACACCAAGTGCGTTAGAGCCACCGAACCGCTGAAGCTTCGGTAAACTGCAGTAGGCGAGCAGTGCTCTGTCTCTTGAGTATTCTGAATGAGTCATGGGGGTTTGGCACGTACATCAGTCGTTTATGTGCAAAGCAATCGCCATATACGGATGCGCCATTTTCCGCCGGTACAATTTTTCGTGTATGTAATTTGCTGTGTACGCATTGTTCGTACACCCTTTTTCCGTGTACGTATTTGCCCGTCACCTAAATAAATACATCTGGTGGTACTTTTATGGTGCCTTCCCCAGCGGAGTAAAAGACGCATGTGAATGGTGGATGGAATAAACAGAGATTTATTCTTTGTAGCGCATTGCCGCAAGGTCGATGCCACATTTCGAATACAAACCCGATCATTGGTTTTGATGGCCTATACGGAAAACAGTGGAACTAAATGTCGTATCTATGAGACATCCACCGCGCACGTCTAGGAAGAGGTGGGAAATGCCTCGGCTCTTGTGTCGCAATACAATGTAGTAAGACAATCAAAAAAGTATAATATAGTAAATGATACAAATTACAAAATATAAACAATTAATGTTACGCGCATTCATTACTGTGCACCGACAGGTAGATAATGATTGGAAACAGAGGCTAGGTGGGATGGGGCGAGATAAACGCGCAAGACAGACGCGCCACTGCGTTCGGCTCTTCGTCAAGTCAACAACTGTATCCGACCAAACATGTTCATCGTCTTTAGGGCCCAGACTCGGGAGTCGATAGGTTCCAACCGAGGCCAACTTTGAACAACGGTCCTTCATTCCTCTTAAACAACTCGGTGCTTGGCCTACTCTCGTCTTCCTCCGCTCTTTGATGGATAGACGGATGTTATGGCGGCGTCACAAGTGCTTCAGCTTAGAGAAAGCGAGACGAGCTCTTCAGATAGGCATCGAAATCTCATCTCCAACAGATCCACCGGCCGTGATGCAACTTCCCAGGTAGGCAAAAATCTGTAACCTCCAGCGTCTCACCCCCAAGAGTGAGTGCAGTTACATGCATCTGAAAATCTTGGAAAACAGCTTTGCAAGTTGGACGGCCTGTGGAGCATCACCCAGCAAGAGGATATCATCAGCGTAGTCCAAGTCAACAACTCAGCTACCTGGGAGGTGCTCAACGCCCCCGCTCAACGAATTATCCAGAGCATACTTTAGGACATTTTTAATGTCAAAATTGAAAAGGAATGGGGAGATAGGACATCCTAGTCGAACTCCATTGATAACAAAGGAAGGCAAAAGCTTGTCATGAGCCCAACTCTACCCGAGGTCAGACTGTACATAGCACGCAGAACGGAAACGAACTTACCGGGGACGCCATTCCTCAACAAACAATGCCACAATGCAGACCAGTCAACAGAATCGAAGGCAGCGCGGAAATCCAGGAACACAAAAATCGTTGGGTTTTTGGTACACATGGCGGACCTCCAGGATCTGGCACAGGATGAAAATTTGATCGATGTAGCCGCGACCAGGGCGGAACGCAACCTCTTCTTCCGGCTGCAGCGA